AAGTGGCACTAAGAAACAAGCAGAGGTTGCAATTCTAATATCTGACAACAGAGTTCAAACTAAAACTAATCAGAAGAGATAGAGAGGGTCACTTTATGCTGATTAAAGGAACAATTAACCAAGAAGATATTACAATCCTTAACATATATGTACCAAACTATGGTGCACCCAAATTCATTAAAACAACACTGCAGGACTTTAAGACACAAATTAACCCCAATACATTAATAGTAGGGGACTTCAATACCCCATTGTCACCACTAGATAGGAGAATCAACAGAGAGACATCTAAATAAAACAATACTATATATCATATGAACCTAACAGACATAAACCGAATATTCCAAACAAGCACAAAAGAATATAGTTTCTATTCAGTGGCCCATGGAACCATCACCAAAATCAACCATGTACTGGGGCACAAACAAACCTCAATGAATACAAAAAGACTGAAATAATTTGAAGCATTCTATCAGACCACAAATCAGAAGAAACCCCACGAACCACACGAACACATGGAGATTAAACAACACTCTCCTGAATGGTAAATGTGTCAAAGGAGAAATTAAGAAAGAAATAAAAGTATTCCTGGAACTAAACAAAAAGGACAATACAACACAACAAAATGTCTGGGACACACTGAAAGTAGTCCTTAGAGGGAAGTTTATAGCTCTAACTGCCTACATTAAAAAATCGGAAAGAACACAATGACTCAACATTGCAACTCAAGACACTAGAAAGGCAACAACAAATGAAACCCAAACTCAGCAGACAAGAAAAAACAACAAAAATTAGAGCAGAAATTAATGAAATCAAAACAAAGAAAACAATACAAAGAATCAACAACTCCAAGAGCTGGTTCGTTGAGAAGATAAACAAGAACTGATAGACCGCTAGCCCAGTTAACTAAAAGAAGGAAAGAGCACCTCCAAATCTACAAAATCAGAGATGAAAGGGGAAACATCACAACAGACACCAGAAAGATACAGAATATTATAAGGGAATACTTTAAAAACCTATATGCTACTAAATTTGAAAACCTAAAAGAAATGGATGCATATCTAAAGGCATGGGAACCACCAAAACTAAACCAAAAAGAGATTAACAGCTTAAACGGACCCATATCACAAAAAGAAATTGAAACAGTAATACAAAACCTCCCGACTCAAAAAAGCCCAGGACCAAATGGATCTACAGCAGAATTCTATCAAACATTTAAAGAAGATCTACATCCAATACTACTTAATTTATTCAAAAAA